CAACCGGCTTGCTTTATATTCCGCGTACGGAACAAGAACAACTTACTAAAATGACGCAACATTATGACTCACTCACCAAGAAGATACCTATAGATGTGACCGGGGATACCATTAACTTTACAAAGATTTCCATCATCACGACTTTCTTCTATCAGCTAATAAGGATCTTATTTTTATAGTTAGTTGGGGGTCTTTGTTTTGCTAGTTTTCGTGGATAGCGGATCGTGTTTTTTTTTGGCACTTTACACGAAGAGGTTTGAGTTGGTAAGGTTAAGTAAATACTGGGTTGTGTATTCGTCAATGGCGATTATCTAAAAATAGAGTTTGTTCGGCTTAGTTTTGTTTCGAAGGTTTTTTGTATCGACTTCAATTTCAAATTGCGAATTAAAAAATTCATATAATCCCTTAGCGAATCAAGTTCCATTTTCGGACTTATTGACTGCGAAATGCCGACCAAAGATGCCTTTGAAAAGTTTTTTAATAAAGCATCTTTACATTTTCAGTAAGATTAGAAATATCAAAACAAATAAAAGTCACGAAATGACTCAAATAATAAGATTTAGAGTATTTTGCTAAGCTACTCGTAAGTCACCACGCCGGTTGCCTTCGTGAGCTGTCGCCATTATTTTTATCCTTTGCATTTGTCAATGTTTTGGATTTCCTCACAAACATTGGATCAATTTCGAAGTTATTTAGCGAAAAAATGCAGTACCCGTTGAACGCCACGGGGGACAACATGTGGGCCACGCTCGCGGAGGATTTACCCTCAACAGCAATTTGTTGGCAGTCAATGGCTTAATCAGTTAGAAATCCTTCCTTATTATTATAAAGAAGACTAATCAAGTCTATTACTATGTTTTTTCATGGAATACTCAAAAACGACTAACGAGAATATTATGCATGACAAGTTGGCGATGTCTTTCATTTATAACTAAAAGTACATAGATATATTTCCGAGCCAAAAACTGTAGAAAGTTCCTATACCGCCTAGTGCTCAGACAATTGCTAGACAATGCACGTCCTAGGTCATTCGCTGCGTTACTAACATCACTGACATAGCCTTTATTCACGTTTTCTAGGACTTCATTATCTTGTTTAAGTAAATATCTAAGCCAAACGGAGTGTTATTAGAAAATAAACTCTGTAATAACTAACGTAAGTTAGTAATTAGGTCTGCCTAAATGAAATGTGGACAAGTCATCAATTTTATAATAAGAATAAAGGGTCTAATTCACTCAAGTGAAAATATTATAAAGTTGACTGAACAGGCAACAGTGTTTGGTCCAAAAAGGTCAGGTTTCGAGTTTCAGTGGGTCTAAGTGTCGGGATGTGGTTTTATAGAAGACAATAGGGCCATTGTTGGCCATACAAAATGTCTAAAATGGGAATACAAAACAAATGTAGTATAGGAACGGGAAAGGATAATTTGGCATCCCTATTTTAAAATTATAGTTACTATTTTGTGATTATTCCTTTAATTTAGAGTTTAGAAGTATGGTTGATGACAAAAGAAATCAAATCCTATATCAGTCAAAATAGCCATAAGTCTGGAATAAAACCTAATTTGTGACAAGTTATGTCACTTTACTTAGGGATCATGGCGTGGGCGTAGACTACTGCAATACAGCTCTGCCCACTCTTTCAAGCAAATACGGGGATAATGTTACTCTTTATTGCTTTACTTACAATTTGAGCTTTCACAGATTGTATGAATTACCAGTTCTTGTAGAGAGCTCCCCCAATTATTTCTATTAAGTTTATATTTAAGAATACATGAGAAGCTGACTGTTACCCTTTCTAGCTAGGCACCAACCATTGAATGGATTTCGATATTTTTTCTTAAAAGACTGGGGACATCCATATATAAGCAGCTAGCTTTTTTCACTACGAAAAATGTCAACAAAACTTTCTTTAAAAAAAAAACTAGCCAATCCAAGCCAAGCCAAGAAAAAACTAGAAAGAAAATGACGAAAACAACCCTGCCTAACTCCATAAAACACACGTAGGCTTTTCATAGCAACTTGTTTAACGAAGTCATCACAAATAATATCCGATTTCAGCTTTTTTTAGACATGTCGACGGCCGCGTCGTGTTGTTTGAGGACGGAAATCGTACCGTATTGATTAGGCTAACTTTTTAAGCTTGGTAGTTTGTATGCGTGGACTGACAGACGATTCAAACTAACAATTTTGGATAGGATTTGCATTTTAATTATTTTAACAATGTACGTGATACGCTAATCATAACGATTTAGCCTTCATTGATTTTGTAGGAGTTTGAACTTTGTTTCAATGCAATTATTGTTCAATATGGGAATTAGCAGGGGTGCACAATAAGGATAGTGTTTCCATCAAAAATTAATTGTGTCCACAAATATCGGTTTTAACGTTTAAGTGATAGGTCGGCAAACGAGCAGACGGATTACCTGATGGGAAGCAATCAGCGCCACCCATGGACACCCTCAACAACAGAGGAGTTACGAGTGCGTTGCCGACCTTTTGGGTATTAGGGATTTGTGAGATTTAAGGACTGGGGAGGGGAAGGAATGGGTCTCCGGTAACTCCACTCACATGGCGAAACACAACGCTGTGGTAGTTTCACGCTGGTTTTCTGTGAGTTACCACTCCGGTCGAGCCGACCCGTTCGTGCCGAAGTATGGCTCTCCCACACTTAAGTTATGTAACTTATGTTTTGGTAGGTATGTGTTTAGCAAATTCTTGGGAATGAAGTATACATATATTCGATACAAAAAACGATGACGTCACAATTTAATTATCTCATACGAATTTTAAACGGATATGTCACATAAAATGTGGCACCCACTTTGACATCGTGAAACATGTGTAGAGGTGAGAATTAGGTAGGTATTGAAGGAAGGGATGATTGGGGCTGCAGTGACCACACTCACGGCGAACTTCACTATGCGAGGTCATGGTATAACTTGGTCGAGGCGGCCCATTCGTGCCGAAGCATAAGCTAAGCTAAAAAGTTTAGGTTTAAGCGCGCTCCATACGGGTCCATACCTACTTAGGCATAAATGTTTTCAGTTCTGCGTTTCTACAGAGAGTAAGAATTTTGATAATAGATAAACACATGACTCTGATTGGATGTAATCCTCTTTGCTTAGCAATTGGTGCCTATAATGGCACAAAATTTATTAAAGTGTTGCAAAGTATGATATAACATTTGGTAATGGGCTGTTATGGCTCACTCAATCACATGGGAAAACCCAATAAAACCGACCACGAAGATAATATCTAATACGGAAAGTATTAAGTTGACTTGGAACTTAAAATTGGCAAGAAAATATAGGTTGATTGTTTTGATTAAGTTTATTGCCAACAAACTTTCTGCCAGCAACTTCGTATGCAAACCTTAATAGATTAAACTAGTAGAGCTTTTCTCAATTAACTCACGTGAATAAGGAGCAATTTTAATATTATGGAGTCAGTCAATGGACTTCCTTCACATAAGTACCTATATTTTTAACTTTCCCTAAACCAGAATTTTTTCCGTGTGCGTCTCTCATAATATTTCGCGACATACACAAATACAACCAGATCCGGAACAACAATTCGTTGATCACACAAATAATTATTTCGTGCGGGCCTCTACTTTTTTGTGATATACCTGTATTTTATTTATAATATTACTCTGGTGACACATCGTAAATAAAAATATTTTATTTTATCTATAATTAAATACCTCTCGGTTAAAATAGAAAATCATGTCAAAAAACTCTGTAACACACGACATTGTCTTAAAAAAAGACACAAAAAGAATGGTATTTGCAAATTGCGACACAAACTGCACCTTGTGCATCTAATAAGGATGCAAGTCTGAGTCACAGCGAGATAATGAGAGATGCGCTCATTGCCGCCACGAAAGTTTTATCTATGACAGATATTAATTACTATGTATTTAGTGCATTACCGATGTTTGGCGTACATGAATTTAACTTACTAATATTATAAATGCGAAAATTACGATGTTTGTTACTCAATCACGCCAAAACGGCTGGACGGATCTGGATGAAATTTGGCACAGGCATAGGATGTTTTTTTTTTTTTTTTTGATGTTTTTTTTTTTAAAAAACATTGCCCCACATTAGGATTTTCTCCTGTGTCGTGGGTGCGTTTACAAACATACAATTCCACATGCACATCACACCCAGACCCGAAACAACAATTTGTGGATCACACAAAGAGTTGTTCCGTGCGGGAATCGAACCCGCGACACGTTGCACGGCAGCCAGTTGCCCAGCCACCGCGCCAACCGTGCAGTCATACAGGATACATTTCGGTATAGGACATAGGCTTTTTGTCAACATACCACGCGGGCGAAGCCGCGGCTGGAAGCTAGTTAATTGATATTTGTAAGTTTCTTTACAAAACTGTGTCATTTTTATGACATACAGATTCAAATTAAAATGTGGATGTTTATAGTACATTCTACATAATACGCAACAATATAGCGCTTTTATTGAGTTGGGAAAATCGTCATACTCCCTTTCTTCCTAGATGAGGCGAGAGGTAGGTATTGTCAGACTCTGACTGACTAAAAACCCCGTTCCCTCTCCTGCTCTAGGCCGAGGTCGCGGTATCTCATTGCTCTGGCCCCCGCAATGTCGACATGATACAAGCGATTAAGTTTTTTCTTTTTTAAAAATAAACTGTTCTACATACATTTAATTATTGTCAGTGTTGCATGGTTGCGGTTACAATAATAAAAAAATACTAACACAACACACCCAGACCCAGAACAACAATCTTGTGAATCACATAAAAAAAGATCCTTGCACAATCGTTCCCGTAATACGTGCTACCCACTGCGCAAAGCAGTGCTGTATTGTTTTACCCCACTAAAAAAATCAGGTAAAACGAAAACCCCGAAAATAATTACATTTTCAGAACAATGAACTAGAAAAGTATCACATACTATTATCGAATACCACAAAAAAGCACTTTATAGATAATACACACTTATCAAAGATAACATACCTGGTGTGAGATCTAATTTGTCTATGTGGTCACCGAGCACTGATGCCCAGCTCTGCAACTGGTCTAGTATACCCCACGGCGTTGTCATGGCAACCGTGAGGAGGACCAGCGTGTGAGGGAATGTCTCCTCGTTGAGGGCAAACTTGAGGAGGTTTGTGTGCCCTGGATCTCCGTCCAGCACCCATACACTGAGACGTGTTTGATCTGTGTAGAAAAAGTAAAAGATATATTTTACTATGCATTTTGTACAATTTCTTATATGGATATTTGTAATCACCAACATATAATATAGTCACTTCATTATGTTTTATAAAGTAACTCCCGCCAGACTTTGATATATCAATTTTTTTATTGGTCATATTGTATATGCCTACGCCTTACCATAAAAAAATTTGGAATCTATGATTATATAATATGTTTAGAAAAACCATGACTATTAATAGTTATAATTATAAACAAAACATGAGACGTTAAGTTCTGAGTTTAGTATTTCTAAGATTCATACATAAATCTTATATTGGCATCATATATCATTGTCAGTGATAATGGCCACCTTTATATTTATTTATTTAATAATTTTTGTACACACAGTAAGTTGTTATACCCTTTTACAACTTATTAAAGTTATTGTTCTGTTCCCTAGTAAGTTAGACAACAAAGTTATATGATCTATGAATAGAAAATAATCAAATTAAAAGTAAGACATAACATAAAACAAAAAAGAGTTACTTTCCTTTAATATGTATACAAGTAGAAGTATGTATAATATGATACTCCAATATATATAAAAAAATGCCTTGTTCATATAAGTAAAACTAATACTATTAAATTTCTTACATTGAATTCTGTATTGTAAACTAATAACATTAAATACTAAACATATTAAAGTTTTTCTTTGATAATTTTATTTGAAACTATCTTCTTCTGGCTATCTTTATTACTATTTTGTAATAACTTCGAAAACAAATATATAATTTGTATTTAACTCAGGCCTATTAGCTGTACAGAAAAAAGTTTCATTCAAAACCGTTCACTAGTTCTTGACATAAGCAGATGCAAACTGAAACTATAATGTTTTTATTTTAATTATTTATCTACTATTCTGTATGTCTGTATGTTTAGTACATGTGATGTGTTTTATGAAAGTTAAACTATAGATTCTATCTGTAATATGAAGTATCCAATAAATTAAATGCCTGTAAAAAAATATCTTGATACAGGCATAATAAAATCAAACATTATCCCGTGGTTTACCGGAGCCCAATCTATGCGAGACACATTATGTTTGCTATTGTGTTTAGTCTAAAAAACAATTAATTTAGAGTATTTATATTTCTTATAAAAGTTTAATAGTTGTAGTTTCTAACGTTTAATATTTGTAGTTGTAGTAACTATCTAATACATTCTGCCTGAAATATTAAGATAATTATTTACTAGCATAGTTATATTTATGTGCCAATTAATAGAAATCAAGATCATCATTTTGTTTCATGGCTACAGCTGATTCTTCTCATATAAATGATGTTTGGACTATTATTTTCTCACTAATTATCATGTGTCAAATTGATATTTTGACAGTATCATAATGGTATCCATGTAAGAAATGTATGAAATATATCTCAAAATGCAAAAATCAATATTGAAAACAAAGCTCTTGCTCTTGTTAGATACTAGGACATAATATGATTCATAAAAATCAATCAATATTCATGACACACAATCAAAATAGATTCTAATAAGAATGATTTACTTGAAGATACTTGTTTAACAAGGAAGTTAACAGCTTCTATATGCTTGCCATTGTTAGTATTTGTGTGTGTCACAACGAGTTTATTACTATTTTGTAATAACTTCGAAAACAAATATATAATTTGTATTTAACTCAGGCCTATTAGCTGTACAGAAAAAAGTTTCATTCAAAACCGTTCACTAGTTCTTGACATAAGCAGATGCAAACTGAAACTATAATGTTTTTATTTTAATTATTTATCTACTATTCTGTATGTCTGTATGTTTAGTACATGTGATGTGTTTTATGAAAGTTAAACTATAGATTCTATCTGTAATATGAAGTATCCAATAAATTAAATGCCTGTAAAAAAATATCTTGATACAGGCATAATAAAATCAAACATTATCCCGTGGTTTACCGGAGCCCAATCTATGCGAGACACATTATGTTTGCTATTGTGTTTAGTCTAAAAAACAATTAATTTAGAGTATTTATATTTCTTATAAAAGTTTAATAGTTGTAGTTTCTAACGTTTAATATTTGTAGTTGTAGTAACTATCTAATACATTCTGCCTGAAATATTAAGATAATTATTTACTAGCATAGTTATATTTATGTGCCAATTAATAGAAATCAAGATCATCATTTTGTTTCATGGCTACAGCTGATTCTTCTCATATAAATGATGTTTGGACTATTATTTTCTCACTAATTATCATGTGTCAAATTGATATTTTGACAGTATCATAATGGTATCCATGTAAGAAATGTATGAAATATATCTCAAAATGCAAAAATCAATATTGAAAACAAAGCTCTTGCTCTTGTTAGATACTAGGACATAATATGATTCATAAAAATCAATCAATATTCATGACACACAATCAAAATAGATTCTAATAAGAATGATTTACTTGAAGATACTTGTTTAACAAGGAAGTTAACAGCTTCTACATGCTAGCCAGTGTTTGTATTTGTGTGTGTCACAACAACAGTATCTGCTCTTATAAGAAAATCAAAATAGCACTTCTAGTATCATGTATGTAGGTTAAACTCAATATTTAGTCTATGAATACTTGTTGATCTATCAAAATACGATGTTTAGTGATAAAAACACACACTTACCATCTCGATATTCATCTCTAACGTCTATATACGCATATTCGAGTGCGGAACCCTTTTTAGGGTCTTCTACTCCTTGTAATTTCGCTACCAATGTAGTTTTACCAGTCTCATTGTCACCCAAAACTAAAACATTTTTGTTTGAAGGTAGTTTTGTGTTCCCTTGGTTTTGAACCTCTTCTAATATCGAAGACCTGAAAATTTTTAAGCATATAGTACATTCATTGTCGTCACTACCGAGAGGTTGGTACTCGTACGGGAAAGTGTACACAAATGTGCGTATTTGTCGTCGTGTGAGAATGTTTCGCTGTTATTTTACATACAAAGGTAGACAACGCAGCTAGGTCACATATTTCTCAGCTTCATAGCTTGACATCACGTAGGTGTGACACATTGGATCCCTATATGGGGAGTGCATGTTACCCGTAAAATTAACAGTAAACCATTACCATAGGTTGTCCTTGACGTCTCCGTTTTCTTTCTTTTTTGATTTAAGCCCATTAGCCTGGCCGTTTGTCTCCATTCTTCAAGTACGATAGAAGATAACAACGGCACAGAAAGGCTTTTCTTTCGTTTTCGTCTCTTCTGCCGTTCATACGTCACTCTCGCGATGATGCACTTGTTGCCAGAACAAAGAATTTATATTATACTGTTAGATATAACAACATCAAACTTTGAAAAAGTTATTTTTCGATTATTCCGATTATACTAGTACAGAAAGCACTATTCTCTTCTTGTAAAAATGTCTATAAATATTTTATTCTATTTAGGAGATACAAGAAATTTTAAAATATTGAACCTTTATTTTTGCCTGACAACATTATTCAAAAACTTTTTAAATTAGGTGATAGTGATGGAAACTAAATCATCGACTACTTGGTTACACAAAAAAGGTTTTTTTTACACAATATTGATAAATTGAAATAATTATTTGAGTACATGGTTTATTCTTCTAAATTATGTTATTTAACTTTATAAGGCTTTGTATCAAAATTTCGCAAAAAAGAGGTCATTAGGCGTCATTAATCGACTGAGCTTACCACGTCGACTAAACTTACTAGTCGACTATCAAAGTAAATCTTCAAGTCAGCTGTCATCTGGCTTATAATCTGCTTATCACTTTCACTTCTCTAGCCTCTGTTTTTCTAAGTCAGTGTCAGACAAAATACAAGTAATATCACGAAAATTATTTTTAAGCCGAATAAAAACTTGATAGCCTTATTATACATTTAGGTGATATTACGCAGTTAGTTGAAGAATACAGTGAATATTACTAGTTAAAAGTGCAAAATGTCTAGAAAGCCGAGATCCGGGAATAAGAGTAATTTGTCTCAGGTGAGTCATACACATTATTTGTTCGTTCATAATTTCTTAGGGTCTCGTCCGGTTCTATTACTGTGATTACTGTTAGTTTATTTATAGGATCATGTCATTGAGCCTATACAATAGTAAATAATACTTTGAGGTTAATCTGGAGATGTTATCAGCTGATTTTGGTTTTGTAAACAAAGACTGCCACAATAATGTTCCTTTATTTATAAAACAAAATGTTAGTATAGAAAAGCATATCTTTTGTGTTTCTTATTACAATTATAATTACCTTAACTGAGATTGATCGTGTTAGGGATGATTTTGGAATATATATTAAAATATATTTCCCTGATTTCCGCCAAAAATGACGAAATGTTTGCTAAAATATCTTTAAATCTGTCATAAAACCACATGTTTCTGTAAGAACCTCAAATTATGTGTGTAGGAGACAGCCACAATCTGTATTATGATCTCAATGGATAAATTGGCTAGTAAGGACTTAGTCCTTTGTTGTCTGGATTCTGGAAATATCCAGAACATTACAATTACAAATGAATCCATGACTTTATCTTGATAAACTACCAAGTTGCGTCTAGTTTCCTGTACACATTGTTATACAATATGTTTTAGATAGATACTGTTACTGAATTTAGTATTTTTTTTTTTGTGTTTACACACACACACACAACTTTATTTAGTATAAAACTGTAATCTTAAATAAGTAATGCTAACAGAAAATAATATTATTTGAAATAGAAAGTAATCTTATCTTTATGAACAAACAAACATTTTTAGTGTTACTTACTAAATCAAGGACATAATCTGACACACATTTTTGTAAATATGTAATTTATGCAATTTTTATTCTTACATCAGACACAATGACTCAACTCAATTAGCAATTTATAACAAAACATTTTTATAATATAGAAACTATATTACAGTATGTTAAGCTACCAGGAAATAGTAGATTTTTATAGTATATTCTATATTTGGCATGAAACAAGCAGAGGTAAGTTAAAAGCTATCTGAAATCCATTTAATGAAGATGTTTAAAACCACACAGTGTTTATATGATAAAATTAATTTGATTTTCAACCAGTTACACAAATTATCTTTATAAATCAATGCATTTAATTTTGCATAGCTAATTAGAGTTTTCCATTCCAAAACTCTAATTGTAATCTTATTAGAAAAATACTTCTTTTTCAAAACCAAATAATAGTCAAAGTCAAAATCATTTATTTCAATTTCTGAAAGGCTTGTCAACGCTAAAATTAACTAATCTCCTGTTAAATCTCTTGTCAAGTCATCTGATTGGTTGTTGATAATTCAGTCAACATTCAGCGACAAGAGATTAAATTGATTTTAACATTGATCGGCCTTTTGGAAACCGGGTGAAAGTGTCAGTCTGTCAGGCAATCCTCTTTGTGAAGCTATTTGCTTGTAATTAATTCCAATGGAGAAGAGCACTCCATGGTTATTCCTTTTAAAACAGTTTCACATACAGATTCTTTGATACATTATTAAGTTCGAATGTGTGGGAACAGTGTAACACTAATAAATATTCATATTTTCATAGTAACTAATATCATTAAAATATTACAATATGAATATTTTCTTTGTCACAGTTTGGTCTTATAGACATACCAGATATAAATGATGATGATGAGCCCCTGGACTTATCAGACGATGACTTTGACTTGGAAGCGGAATTGGCAGCTATCAGTGGTGGTGGTGGACAAAGACAGAAACCGAGGAAACCCCCTCCGGTGCCCGCAGCTAACTTGGATGCTATGATAGCAGAGAGCTTGAAAGACATACCTTCTGACGATGAGGGGTCTGGTGAGTCATTGTTTATTTGTATTTATTTTATGCCATGTTGAAACGAAACAAAATATAGTTCTAGATTAGAAATACATAAGATAGTTTTCCTCAAAACCAAAAAGGCTTGAAAGTGGATATGATGTAGGGGCTAATTTTTTTTTATGCAAACATGCATACATATCCTCTGATGGTAAGTGATGGACACCCGCAATACTAAAGGAGTCCCAGGTGCGTAGGTCTCTTCAGAAAGGAGTACTCTCGTTTCTTGAATGTTTGAAGGTCGTATCGGTCGGGAATACCGCCACCGGGAGATCATTCCAAAGTTATGTTGTGCGGGGCAGAAAGTTTCTCGTCATTTCCACAGTTGTTGACTGCCAGCCATCTATGTGATGGGGATGAAAACGCTTTCGCGTAGGACGACGGCGAAAAGATGCGGCGGGGAACCAAAAATACTATCTATTAATCTTCTTTCAGGAGATGATGACGATCCAGACCTTCTCAACGAACTGCAATCCTTAGCCATAGATGACGATGAAGCGCCCGCCCCTCCGCCCCGCACGTCACGCCCCGCGCCACCTCCCCCTGGAGCTCCTCTCAGCACTGACAGTAGTACCATCAGCTTGCTACAGGACAGAATCACTAACTACACAGTCGCTGAAAAGAATGCAAAGTCGAATGGAGAAAGCAGTCGGGCTAGAAGGTAAGATCCTTTTATAAGGTACTCACATGCAAAATCTTTTTGTAGGTTTGTGTGTTTCAGTGTGTTAGCGATCAACTCATAAACAGCTGAACAGATTTCTGTTATACCACAGATTAAATAAGTATTAAGTATACCACAGATTGATTCACCAAACCCCAATCGAATGCGGGCGTTCGCGCACCTATTGAAAGGTAAAATAGTACCTATTTACCAAGTGAGACTCCACATTTTCTGACGAGTCTAATCTTTGTTTTGGGATTAACAGACACTGCATTTATTTTACTACCCAAGTAATTGGAAATTTACAGAACTCGTCATACAGCGGTGCATACGAAACATGTTAATTAGTGCCAACATTTCATAATATAACGGTTACGTTTAGCTCGTGTCTACTAAGTACAGTGAACAAGAAAAGTCATTGAACTTCTTCGATATTTTTTTTTATGTAGTATGTCGGCAAGCTAGCAGACGGATAACCTGATGGTAAGCAATCAGCGCCTCCCATGGACACCCGCAACGGAGGAGTTACGAGTGCGTTGCCGACCTTTATTTGGAGATTTAAGGATTGAGGAGGGATTGGGGGAGGGGAAGGATTGGGCCTCCGGTAACCTCACTCACACGACGAAACACAACTTATTATGAAAAGAGAACTCAATATAGTATGAGAGAGCCATGCTTCGCCACGAATGATCCGGGTTGACTGGAGTGACACCACGGCTGCAAAGAAAAATAGCGTGCAACAAGCACAGAGATGTGTTTTGCTGTGAGGTTACCAGGGGCCCAATCCTTCCACTCCCCCATTCCTGCCCAATCCCGAAATGCCTAAAACTGCTTATCCCTAAAAAGCCGGCGGGGTGCTTGAAACTACTTAAATCTTGTCTGCATGGTTCAACTGGCTGCCGTGCAACTTGTCGCGGGTTCGATTCCCGCACGCAACAACTATTTGTTTGATCCACAAATTGTTGTTTCGGGTCTGGGTGTCATGTATATGTGAATTGTATAGGATGAAATCATAGTGTAGGACGTTTTTTTTAAATAAAATCTCTGCTTACTTTGTGGTTGTCCATGGGCGACGCTGATTGCTTACTATCAAGTAAAAGGAGTGCTTGATAGCTTTCGTATCCCATTAAAATTGTTGAACTCAGGATATTATTGATTTCGTTTGGAGAATGAGAACAAAGAACAAATGCAATGTAATTGCCTAACAAAGGAATGTTTGTGTAAAGTGGATTAAAATATTCGAACCGATCCTGTTACTGAACTTAACAAACAAGTATCGAAATAACATATCGATTGTTTCCCCTTTGTCTTTGTTCTGTAAAGAGAGAGAGAGAAGATAGATCTTTTTATCCTACCAAAATTATGGACGCGAAAGTGTTTAAGTACCTATGGATGGATGTTTGTTATTCTTTTACGTCAAAACTACTGAATGGAGCTGAATGAAATGTGGCACACATATATATTATAGTTTGGAATAACAGATATGCTGTTTTTAACTGGTACTGCGAAATTAGCAGAGATGGAATTTATTGTTATAGTTTAGGAGGTCTGTGTTGCTTGAAGGTGTAAGCATAACAGGATAAGGCTTCACAGGCCACTTGAGGTACTTATAATAGTTGTGTGAGAAACATAAAGTACCTACGTAGATTGTTTTTTGTTTGTATACTTACTCATTAAGAATATTTTTGGGGCTGATCCAAATATAATTTTTTTACAACCCTTTAAAAGCGTCAGCGTCCAGCGTCATTTTATGTACGTGTGCACATAGTTGCGAATCAAGCTATCCTTCCGGCATAAACTGATCTCTGAACTCGCGGAAAGGTCTTACTAAGCGGGCCCATGATAATATGGATTTGTAAAATTTTACTCTTGCATTTATTAGTCATCTAAGTTTAGTAGCTGTATGTCTACGTACATATGTACATATATTTATAAGTAAAGCAGACAGCCGGGGTACAAAGAGTACTCGAGAGATGAAAGTAATTTTGGAAAGGTCCTTGCTCCCACCCGTCTAGACATCGTTCATTAGCCCTGAATACTTTACGTTTCGTCTCGAATTGAATTCCACTTAGTATATTGAAATGCTGCGGAAAGTGGTTCTAATAACAGTATGTATAATAACAATTAAAATTGAATGAAGATATCGATGTCTATTGTTAGATATTTACGTAATTAGTACTTAATTAGAATCGCTTTGGTTCTACAACTATTATCTACGTCATAATTATAGATAGGGAATTTGAGGATAGAGGAGAGGAGAAGGGAGGATTGTTCGTCCTCTGGTAACCTCGCTCACACGACGAAACACAACGTAAGGATTGCTTCGCGCCGGATTTCTGTGAGGCCGTGGTATCACTCCAGCCTCTCACTAAAAAAGGAAACTTAATCACCTGCCGCTTTCATCTTTACATTATACCTTAAGGTTGACTGAGCGAAAATGCGTAAGTCATTATTAGTCCGTCTGTACAGATTGTTCTATTCGGTATAATAAATAAATAAATTCTTCAACAGTAATAACAATGCAACATTCTAATAACATAAACTTTCATTGCCACATTTATAGGTTTGGACGAGGTCTGAAAACATTACAAGACCTTCTAAAACAGGCTAAAGCTGGCAAACCAATTAAAAATGAAGACATACCACCCCCGGTTGCGGTGGGGAAACCAGCAGGTCAATCAGACGCTCCTCAACCGCCAGCAGCAGAAGCTAGCCCCCCAGAACAACCTCTCATAGATCTGGGACCTCCAGAACCTGAACCGAGTCCTCCCAGTCCTCCAGAACCTACACCTGTAGTCCCAGAACCCAGTCAGAGCACAGGGAATGACAGACAAAGAGAGTTGCAGATTATTTTGAGTGAGTTTTTTTATTTAGTACGATAGTTTTTTTTTACAAAACTTATTGTTGTAAAGGTCATTTTTTAGTTTCATTTTGGCTTTACTACTTTTTTTTTGTTATACAGATACAGGGTTTTGATAAAAAGGAGTGTTTTCTCCATTTTTTTGGAGTTCTCCATGTTTTATAAGTAAATAATCATCCTGTATGGTCATATCAAAAAAGGCAACGTTGCGTTTTGTCGTAAATTAAATTGTAGTTCCATACTAAGATGAGATATCTTCGACTAAATGGCATACTACCTTTGATCTACATGAGAAATCATTTCATGAAAACTAATTTTACGCAAGTATTTTTATTTGTGTGTCTCTAAAAGTCGAAAAGAACCAAGTTAGCAGTAATGACGGCTAATATTTTACTTTATACATAGTTAGTAGGGCTGTTGTGTGATGTACGGAACTTGTGGAACTATGTATGGTGTGTGATGTGTTTGCCACGCTGTCTCTTTTTAAGCGCACACGCATCATATAGAAAAAAATCGCTTTGTAGGGCTCTCTTTAACTACTTCATACTTTACTGTATGTCGTATATATCATCATCATCATCGTCGAATATATCAAATAATTTAATTTTCTGACACTCGTATTTCCATCTCCAGATCGCCAGGCAGAATTTAAAGCCGAAGCTCTAGCTGCCAAGAAGAATGGAGACAAATTCTTAGCTCTCGGTTTCCTAAAGGTGACCAAGCAGTTCGACACAGTTGTGGAGGCTCATAAGAGTGGCCAGGCCATGGACCTTAGTGAACTGCCCACCGTGGCCATGATCAGGGCATCATTGGAACAGGAGAGGGGTCAGCAAGGACAGGAGTCCATGCAAACTTCTTCTGGTAAGTTATTTTTCATTATATGATAGATCCTGAAACGGCCTGAAGGTTTACCTGATGGTAAGCAGTCGGCGCCGCCCGTGGAAAAGACGGGCAACATCAGAGGAGTAAGGCGCCCGTTGCTGGACTTTTGGGGATTAGGGTTTGGGTCACTCATACGGCGAAACACTACGCTGTGGTTGTTCCACGCCGGTTGTCTGTAAGGCCGTGGTGTGTCATTCGTTATGATATAAAAGTTGTTAATTTTTGAAGGTTTCTTCTTCTTTAGAAGTTTGTCGGTAATGAAGTTAAGTATGATTTTGGTAAATATTATATAACGTGTTTTTTTCTGTAACCAGCGCCGGCAGAAGACACAAGTGGCGGTGGAGGTGGGGGTTTGATAATGGCAAGCACTTTGGGAGAGGGGCTGCATCAGAGGTTGGAAGCTTTTAAAGTAAGTACGAGGAAACTCTGCTATGGTCCAAATTGGCTTTAAAGCGCTTGTCTATCCAGAGAACAGAACACTGTGTTCAATAATTTTTTTCAATCGAGGTTGCGGGTGTAACGGCAATAATGGACCCCATCCCTGGCCCTGGAGCTGGAGAAGGATCGGGGTGGGATTTTAGTCAGTAAGAGTCTGATACTCCCTTGCCTCCCACCCAGGGCTGGATAAGACATTTGATGACATTTCTATATCAAAAAAGTCTGTTTTATGTACCATTGTATTTTCCTAGCCATTGTCGCGGGGTTTCACCTGCTGCTCGGCTCCTACAGATCGTAGCGTGATGTTTTATGGCCTATACAATAGCCTTCTTCGTTTAATTCTTCATATAAATGGACTAACGAACACAAAAAGAATTGTTCATTTCGAATCAGTAGTTACGGAGATTGGCGCGGCCAAACAAACAAGCGAACACTTCATCTTTATAATATTTTTTTCTATGGGATTAGTCGGTAAAAATAAGCAGGCGGATTATCTGATGGTAAGCAATGAGCGCCACCTATGACACCCGTAAAACCAAAGGAGTTACGAGCGAGTTACCGGCCTTTTGGGGAAAAACACAACACTGTGGTTGTTTCACGCCGGTTTTCTGTGAGATCGTGGTATCACTCCGGTCGAGCCGACCCATTCGTGCCGAAGCTTATATAGTATAGACTTTATTACATAAGTATAATATAATTAATGTTATTAAACACATTTTAAAACAGAAACAAGAAGCGAAAGCGAAGGAAGAAGGCAATTCTTCAAAGGCTCGTCGTATGAATAGGATTATCAAGCAATATGCTGATGCCATCAAAAGGCATGAGGCTGGTCATCCCATTGATGTGGAGGAACTACCAGCGCCCGCTGGATACGGACCGTTACCTACTGGGAATGCTGTAAGTATTCAATTATTAAATTAAAAAAAAGAAATTCTTAGTAAAAATATATCCAGGAAAATACATGTTGGCTGCTAGAGAGTAAGAGTCCCGTTATGACTTGAAACTAGTAGAGTGTCTCAGTTTATTCATGTGTCAGTATTTTCAATAAATTATGGATGTCTCACGCTAATAACTAAAAAAAAATATTCATGTATACATATATATATTTTTTAAATAACGTTGCCCCACACTAGGACTTACTCCTGTGTCGTGGGTGCGTTTACAAACATACAATTTCACACACACGTCACACCCAGACTCGGAACAACAATTTGTGGATCACAATAATCAAACCCGCGACACGTTGCGCGGCAGCCAGTTGCCCAGCCACCGCGCCAATATAGTTTTGAGATGTGTTTAGGGGCGGTAATCGATCTAACTGGGATTCATTTTGAGAAAATATAGAAAAAGCTTACATATCTCGGGTCTTCCATGTACTGAACATGATGTGATATGAACATTGTAGCCCGGAAGTAAAATTGCGGATTCAAAAACTGGCAGGAATAAAAATATCTTTCCGAATTAAATAAATCGGATAATCTCCTTATTAAGATCGGACCTCTGAGTTTGTTTCGTCATTTCTTCTCAGAGTAGTCAGATAGGAAATGCCGGCTTCATCTAGTTTTTCACATATAAATTGACGTGTAAAAGTGCCGTATTATGGCCTATTTGCAAAAATAAATTCATTGTTTCATTGATCATTTAGATTTGTCACTGGCATACGATAAAGGAAGCCATCGAGCACTGTCTTTACATTTTCTCTCTCATGCTCAGTGTTAAAAAATCTCTTTCTATCTCTCTTCAGCCAAAACCCTCTCCATCGCCTGCGCGGGCGACCCCAGCGCCCTCCGAGCCGAGTCCCAGCACTGGGCAAAGCGCACGACGCGACCAAATAGTCGCTCTACTCATCAAAAGACAGACACAGTTTAAGGAAGCAGCTCTTTTGCATAAGAAGAAAGGTAATCTTATAATATTTATATTAATAACTAGCTACTCTTGCGCGGTTTCAACCGCTGCTCAGCTCCATTTGATCGTAGCGTGATGTTTTATAGCCTATAGCACTCAGGAACATTGTAGCTACCTATCAGCGAAAGAATTTTGGCAATCCGACCAGCGGTTCCAAAGATTACCATCCCCTACATACCTCTTTGTAATATTATAGTATACCTATAGACTATCTGAACCGACAGATTTCGTCCTGTCATTTGTAATGTAGCAGTGTTTTGTTTCTATTTTATATTCTTCCCTGGTAATGAAATTGGTGTGAATTAAGATTAATTAAATAAAACACTAAAAGATGTTTTATTCCATTATTTTAATATATTTATATTACACACACTGTTTTGATAGATATTATTGAATTTGAACTTAGTATAGTGGTAAGAAACCTACATTTATTAGATCAGAGCGAGTGCTTGTTATTTAACTTAACTATGTTTTTAGCCCATCTGCGACACCGTAGAATGTTTTAATTTAAACGCAAACAAACTAACTACTAACATATGTATCGCCACTGGTGCATAGCTAGTGGTGTTTTTTTTAAGGAAAAGGTTCGCAAACGTGCCTTCAGATCACTTGATGGTAAGTGATTAGTGCTGCCCATAGACTCCCTTTATAAACGGATTTTAGTAACAAAATCACACCAAAAGTGGTTTGCTAGGGGTTTAGGGATAGGGGATTTGGAGATTGAAGAAAGGAGGGGTGGGGAGGGGGTGAAGTTAGTACTCTGGTAACATTATAGACACGGCGAAACACAACGTAACTCTTTTGGAAATCTATCCAGGAAAAGGGCTATACCCTTGTCCCAAACATCCCAATCAAAAAACATTCCCTAGTAAACTTATACCACACTTGCGTTGGTAACAGTAAATTAGAGAGAACTCTTTTCCTATACTCTTATCTTAAATTAAACTTATCTATTTAAAGGCGAAGTGGATATGGCACTACAGTACCTTAGAAACGCGAAGCGGTTCGATCCACTTATAGAAGCGGCGAAAGCTGGGAAGACGATAGACTTGAGCAACCTGCCTGCCCTGCCCCGACCTACAACAAGCAATAAAGCGTAAGTATCATTAGATTCTTTTTTAATTGTAAATATAAGATGTACTAGCTACTTTCGCGCAGTTTCACCTGCTGCTTGACTGCTATTGGTCGTAGCATGATGTCCTTTAGCCTATAGCGTACCTCGATAGATGTACCAACGAACACAAAAAGAATCATTCAATTTGAACTAGTAGTTTCGGAGATTAGAGCGTTCAAACAAACAAACAAACTGTTCAGCTTTATAGTATTAGTAAAGCTAACGAAAGAAAATACATTGCCACACTAGTGTTTTCTCCTGTATCGTGGCTGCGGTTATAAACATACAATTTCACATACACATAACGCCCAGACCCGTTACAACTATTTATGTATCACACGAATTGTTCCGTGCAAGAATCGAACTCGCGACACGTTGCCAGCACGGCAGCCAGTTGCCCAGCCACCGGGTCAACCGTGCAGTCATTCAATTACTTACAGTTAATTAAAATATCAGATAATATTTGATAGTAAATTTTCTTTGCAAATATTATAAATTTTAAACTAAACTATTAGAAATTAACATACAGCAATTAGCTTTAATATTAATCTGTAACGCTTCCAAAATGCTTACTAACTCTAAAGTAAACTATTCCAAAATTGCTTTTGCGCAAACGTAATTATCACTTGCGCTAAAAATGCGCAAAGTTGCGCAAAACAAAAACTCATTTCCACAACAAAAATGACTTCAGGACAATACACACAGAGGCGTCTGGAGACAGTTCTCTTCTTGACAGCTCTTCGACCGATGAACCTTCAGGGGCTTCGCATGATGGCTGGGTGGATGTAGGAGCCATGGTCGGAGGAACCAGTGAAGACGGGTCCACCAGCCTCTTGAACCAGTTGGAGTCCCAAGGGAAAATGGCCAAGGAATACATGAAGCATTGTAAGAATATGGGTCATGTTGCCGAAGCGAAAATGTATGAAAAACTAGCTGAAACGGTAAAGGAAGATCTTGATGTATTAAGGGTTGCTGTGTTGTGAGTATTTTTTTAAATCCTTTTGAGTTTCTGTGGTTGCCATTTTGGATTTTACACTTCCATTCATTTACAGTTTTTTCGTATTTAGTCAAGCCATCTATTACATCTCGTTTTTGTGTTATCTGCTCAAGTCATATCGAGTCGTAGATCATACATATGTAATGAACACCGCTAGATGGCGTTGTTATTAATAAGGCCAATGTTTTTGTGTATTTTTAGCCCATTGGAATGATTAACTTGGAATTGTAAGAAACATTTAGAAAATCATAATATGAACGCGCGATGAATAATACACATTTTTCTATAGTATAAAAAATACACATTCCAGAAACAATCGAGGTCTACCCAATTTCCACTACGTGACAAGAGAATTTTCAATCACACAGTGCAATACAGACCTTGGCGTTAACGATTTAGAATTGACAATCGTGCGAGGCATCGCTTACAACGTCGCTAAGGACATCGATACCTACGTTAGATTCGAGTTCCCTTTTCCACAGGTATTTATTGACTCTAATTTTGTTTTAGAAATTACTCATTTAAGAAATGATAACTATACCTTTGATGCAAACAATATCGTAATATTGTTTTGAACAAACCTAATAGAAAAATTAGTTTTTGGGCGTTCACAAAATCACCCCAATTGACCATTTGTTGAATTGAAAGTAACTATATTTTTACTTAAACTTGGCTTCGACGTTTATGAGTTATAAAAAGTAAAGTAAACAAACAGTAAAGGAAAACATCGTGAAGAAACCTCGACCTTTAATTACTTATCATAAGTAAGGAATAAGGACTCGCCTTGAGCAAGCGTGATGACGCCGTTATGTGCCTCATAACGCATATAATGTTGCAATTAATTCAAAACGAAAAGCTCGAAAAAATTCAATACTTTGAACAAAACTACATCGTTGCGCAGAGTACTTGCGAAAAATATAAAAAGTTGCGCAAACGCGCAAAGTCAAATCAAATGTGACAATTGATGAATCACGATTACAAATATCCTAAGTATGATTAAAAATTTCATAAGCTTCCTAAAAGATTCATCTATACTAATTTTACTATATATTGAGGTAAAATTTGTAAGTTTGTATGTAGGGGGCCAAACTTTGGAACCTCTGATCTTATTTCTAAAATTCTTTCACTGATCGATAGCTACAATGTTCCTGAGGGCGAGCTATCGCTTTAAACAATTAATTTTATTATTGTTTTACGTGTGTCAAGCCGCGGACGCGAGCTAGTCTTTCATAATGAACGACGGTAATTATTATAATCTTACTTCTCACTCTTAACACTTTCAGGAAGCGCCAGTATCAGATAGAACAGATGTGGTCAAGAATTCAAACAGCCCGGAGTACAACGCGGTATTCCCACTGGCCATAAACAGGAACAGAGCGTGCCAGCGAGTGTTCAAGAGACACGGCATCAAGCTGGAGGTCTGGAGCAAAGGGTAAGTATGAGAGTGGGGTGATGTTGCTTTACTAACGCCTTTTCATCGAAATTTCATAATTTTTCACTAATATATCTGTAAAAACCGTAATGGTCTATCGGTTTTGGGTAGTTAACTAAAAAAATGTTGCTATGTCTTTTAAGTTTTAATATGAAAGAGGTCGTATAAAATACTATACAAGGATTTTTAAATTTAGTTTATTAGGTAACATCGATTTCGATAAATACCTTATTGTAATTTTTTTAGACAACTTAAAAATAACATGTCATTGTTGTTACCATTTAGTGAATGGCCTAAACCATAATGATATGATGACCATAAAGCTCAAATGTTAGTTTGTTTCAAAGCACCCACTTCTGGGAACTATTACTTTGAAAATTAAAAGATTTCTGTGTTTGATAGTCTTTTAGTACGAAGGATATAAAACTTAAAAATTAAATTGTATGTTTTAGTATCTTACACATTTACTACAATTTACCTTAAGCAGGGGTCTTCTTCTTTTAACGACGAGGCCCCGTTTCTTGCCAAGTCTAACAAACACAGCTATTACGTGTATTCAAAATCGATTTATCTATTTATTTATTATATTATAGAGTATTATGATACATACTGTTAAAAAGTGAACAGTATTTCTTGGCTTATACCAAGAAGTAGTGATAACTGTATAATACACAGGTAATGTGAACTAGTGAAAGGAATAGAAAATCAATAGTAACATCTGTACTAATATTATAAAGAGGTACAATTTGTAATTGTAACTTTGTATGTAGGGGGTAATCTTTGGAACCGCTGGTCGGATTTCTAAAACTCTTTCAATCAATCAATCAATCAATAAAACATTTATTGTTGATCATAGGTATGTGTAGTACAGTTCTTAAATATTTGAAAATTTTGATCAGCTATGTCCCGCCCGTAGGGCATACAATAATTATTACACAGTTTTTATATACAATAATTATTACATTCACATTCGAACAATAGCTACTTTTTCACTGGTAGATAGCTACAATGATCCTGAGAGAGGGCTATAAAACATCACGCTACGACGAAACCGCGCCGCAGTAGCTAGTACCAAATGTTAAAAATTCTTCTATGACAATGAATGATGAAACAATTGGATTGTAAATATGTACATATTTTAGCTATTATGTAGATCCTGTTTTATTTCATAGATTGGACTTGATAGTGTTAATGAAATGATTTAAAAATGACTTATTTCTTTATTTAATAAGTATGTAGTTATAGTTCGTTTTGAATGGTTTAGGAGTATAGGAATTTTTCATTTTTTTACCAATCTTTATGTAGATTTATGCATGATGAGGGTGAATAAACTTTATATTTTTAACCGACTCCAAAAAAGGAGGAGGTTTTCAATTTGTCGGCATCTTTTTTATATGGCTTATTGATTAGTTAAAGACGCCTAGATCGATTTACAAAATACTTTTCTTTATGATTGGGTAAACTTTCCGCGCTCCAATAGTCATCAGGTCAAGATCTGATGATGACATCCTTGAGAGATCGCGAAACTTCTATTTTTTTTTTACCATATTAGTGAAATTGTTAGTAATAAATGGTTAGTGGCTCACAATAAGTAAAGTTAGGTATTTTATTTTCTTTCACGTACATACATTATAAAAGATGAACCTAGTCAATTTTAGTCGCATGACTAAAAATAGTATTGTTTTGGAATGTTGTGGGTAATCAAAATTCATCAATAAATGCATGTGTCACATTTAGTGAAGATTGTACAATTTTATTCATCATTGAAATGTGGGTTGGCGCATTTTTGTCAGATTTGCGCATTTTTATAAGTTTTGCGCAAGTGCTTTGCGCAACACGTTTCTATCATGTTTTCTTAATATATAATATACCTAACATGAACTTACGTGAATTTACTGGGAAAAGCTCAGTTATTTTACGTTGTCTTTAATAAATTTGCGAGCTTTTGTTTATGGTTTTGATTATTCATAATAATAACAACTTTTTGATTGACGGCTTACATACCAACATAATATTTAAACATAACGCCACTCGGACCAGAGAAAAAACATTGAAACGAAAACTTACGATTTACTTACTGTTTGGACGATGTATTTGACTAGCTTTAGAGGTCATTAATCTCTTTATCACTCTCTGATCATCTCTTCCTCAAACCATGTTCCCATTTGGTGCATTAGCTTTGTGCATGCGTAGTGCGTAGTGCGTAGTGCGTAGTGCGTGCGGTGCGTGTAGCGCTGTGGTTGCCAGGTGCGGCGGATGCGCTGAGTCCGTCCTCTGTTGCAGCGGCTGGTTCCGGAGCGATACTCTGCTCGGCACCGCCAACGTCAAGCTCGCCCCGCTACAGGAGACCGTCACTCTACACGATTCTTTTCCTGTAAGTTGTTTTTTTTATGTGATTTTGGTTAATGTGATAAGCAATCGCCGCTCATGGACGACCGCAATGCCAAAGGAGTTTTAGAAGGTAACTCAAATGATTTCTCTCGTCCGGAATAAGGTAAGAGAAAGTGCCAGACTCTTACTGACTAAAAACCGCTCTCATACTTCTCCAGGCCAGCTGCGGTGTCTAATTGCCTCAAAACCCCGGCTGAATATCGACCCTGTTGGTTCCCATCTGTTCTGGTCAACTGACTCTTTGAGATGCGCGCGTATTGTTATGTGCCGTACGCTTGAGTCTGCTTCTGGTCAGCTGGAGATCGTCACTCGATCTCCGGTGCACAGAGTGTCTTCTACTGCGGTTCTACTTCTCACGCGCTTATTAGCGCAGCAGAGGAATATCGCCCCGGCGACGCTTGTCAGTTCGCAAACTGAAAACGCACCCGAGTGCAAATTCCATTGCGGTGATCCGGCAAGGAGGTTCGTTGCCTCCCCTGAGATCGTACGATAGCCACGCGTATGTTCATGACAACCGACCCGCCTCTGGCGAATGCAGACCCTATACGGCCTGAATGAGAATTTCATCGATAAAAAAACAAACAAATGCATTTTTTTTTAATTATTCCGAAATACCTGATACCTCTCAAAAGGCTGTCTACGCATTTGTAAAACCTCTTTTGTTGTATGTATCAATGGGCGGTGCTGATTGCTTATTAGATGGTCCTTCACGCCATTTGCCGACCTATTCCACAAATAAAACACATTTTTTGTAAAATGTAAATTTACTTTGTGAATTTCATTTCAGCTATACGACGGCAGGCGGGCAGTGGGAGGGTCCTTGGAAGTCAAGGTGCGCGTGCGCACACCCATATTACAACAAGAAGTTAAAACTGAAAAACACCGCTGGCTGGTACTAGATGATGTCTAAATATTTTCTTAAGACGCGACGAACAAACACTGAATTTCAGGTTTTACAAAAACTTAGAAATATACTTAATAAGTTACCTATGCAAGGTGTAGCAGAATAAATGCAAAAAATTGTAAGTGCTGGTTCAGACTATACCACTGTTATTATTATAATTTTGATAATTCAAAAAATTTAATACAATTTCTCGTTTTTTTTTGTAAGTACTCGTATGCCTTTTTCTTTTTCTCCCGCCGTGGGTGGGGCGAGAAGCCATACTTTAGGAGTTATTTTTATATATAAAGGTCAATTTATTCTTGAGCTGCTTCGAAACGCACACAATGATATTAAACTGTAAGTAGAAAAATAAATAGTACATATCAGAATCGCAGTCTCAATTACATTATTATTTCGTGATAAAAAAATTATCGAAAATATTTATGTCGTCACCCTAGGGAGGATTAACAAATGTGACAAAGCCTATGGCTTTATTTTAGGTAGAATAGATTACTTTTGAAGTTACATATGTAGTTAAGGTTGAATTTGCTTTGGAATCCATTCGCTTCGAGTATGGCAAAATTTGAACCCGCAAAAGTTCTATTTTAGGGCCTGAATCAGCGCTTACAAGGAATTGAGTTTATTCTATTACACCTGCATATACATGTAATTTTGAAACGTGGTACTACTTTTTTATAATTGGATGCTATATAGATTTATGAGACGACGCCACGATAACTAAAACTCAAGTAGCTGTTTACCTAAGTGGCTTTTTAAGGAAATGTGAATTGCATAAAAATTACAAGTGATCTTAAGTATAAGTAAGTTAATAATTTACATTTAAAAACTTTCAAAATGGTATAAATGGCAGTAAAAAAAAATACACACGGAACAAGAGTTGTCACCTTGTCTTAACTAGATGGCGTTAGTGATTTGACTGATATTATGTTCGTGTATTTTCGAATAGAAACCTTATAAACCTCAAATTGAAAAAGAATATTATTTTTGTATAAAATATCATTTTGTTATTTTAACGTGGAAGGGTTGTTTAAATTAAGAATATTATTAATATTAAATTAGGCTTGTAAATTAAACAGTATGTGATTGAAATTTTAGTAAATGGCTTTTTATAGTAGCTTTTTATAAGAAATCTCACTTAAAACGTCCTACCGCATTTTTAAACGAGTTTGATTGTCACAAAACTTTTGATATGAAAATGTTAACTGGTTTTGTTTTACCTTTTTAACGGTATTTGATTTTTGAGAATTACCCTTAACACTAAAATGTACGAATACAGAAAAATATGATAAAAGTACGTGCATTTAAAACTATTCTAAAAACTACTCTATGCTCTGTCTATAAGACATTTTTAATTGTACAAGCGAGGCTGTATTTGCACTGAGCAGCTTGTAAAGTACACTATAAAATTGCGTTACCATAATTAAGGTTTAAATTCGTTTGGATTCCCTGATCTAATAAGGTTTATTTTCGATTGAATATCGAGAGTTTGTGTGTAAATAATGAACCTTATCACAATTTTTATTTTAAACGACTTTGAACCTAATGGTGTTGCAATTTTTTCGTAGATTAATTATTATTATTGTAAATTATGAATATATTACGTTGTATGTTAATATTGTGTAATTATTAAAGATCTGGTTGATCGGTTTTTGTATGTTTTATTTTAGTTTTTTTAAAGATGGGACTTGTATCTCAAACTGTATGTAGACATGGTCTAGGAGTCCTTAAGCTCTATATTCCTATTAATCCGTGTTAGTCCTATGTATGTTAAGTTGGTTATATGTTGTAAAATATCACACGCAATTCTTATCATATACGAACGATTTAAATCATGCTAAAGTTTCATTTAAACTACATATATAGCAAAGTTTACATTACGTAACTGTTCGACTACTTTCGTGCTCGTATGGTTATGGGACCTGGCGTTTCTTGAAATCGGTTGAGGTACCTCGTCGAATAGTTGCGTACGCCTATAAGGTGATAAAATAAATAAGATAAATAAGTCTAACGAGAAATTATGATACAAACATGTTCTATTTATTTATTTATTTATTTGAAAATCTCATTAGTAAGGCGACTTCCTATAATATTAAAATATAGTAGCAAAGTCAAGGTGATTAATGACAAACACGTGTCAAAATCCGAATAGAATCGGTTTAGTTACCTGACTAGCTTATGGATTGTCTTGCACCAAGTTATCTTGACCCTTATTCTCCCACAAACATTAAGCATCTACAGTTCAAATTTCTGTGGTATGTTAGTCTGGGAAATAACCATTATAAGAAGAGCTTTCTTTTTAAATAATTTATATTGAAAAGCAGGTCTATCTATTCTGGTTATATATATAGTCTATTAGCATTATTTAACAATGCAAATATGTGCAAAGTATTGACACTTTATCGCGACAGATGAATTTGAACGCTATGCGTTTTAATATAAGATAGATTTTATTTAGAATTTTTATGCTTAACTTGAAAGATTGAATCAGGAATGCGTGATAGACGATTTGGTGCCATATTCGTTCTAATTACTCAAATCAGTTTTTTCTGGTTATTCAGCAAACATGTCGATAGGTATGTAAATTAAATTTAGATTGAATAAAGTAATATGACTTTGAAATACTGAAGAATATAATTTTAGATCACAATCATTAATTTCCCTGATTTAAGATAACAAACCTTTTATTTCCTAATTACTTTCTCTATCATATTATTATTAGGTAGTTTATGACAGTATATGTGAAGCCATCAACAAATTGCACAATAACAGATCAAAGGCATTTGTCTCACACGGCACGGTTTGAGCATTGACTAATCGCTTGCTCAAGGCAGAATGATGATTTTAACTTATAATCCCCCAAAAAAACTAGGACTCTCCTCTTTAGTATCCAACCCATAACTTAGGTTGGGCCCAGATCGGAGCAAAAGAAGGAAGGCGTTAGTCAGTAAGAGTCTGACTCTCTCGCCCCAACCAAACGAAGAATTTTTCTCATTAAAAATAACGTACAGCTGATTTTAAAGCTGTTCCTTTTTGTTAAAAATAAAAATTTAAACAACGCGTCACATTTCATTGTCATCATCAGCCAGTTTCCGTCCACTGCTGGACGTAGGCCTTTTCAATAGCACGCCACTGAGCTCGATGTTCAGCTCTTCACATCCAACCACTGCCAGCCACGCTACGGATATCATCAGTTCACCTAGCTGAAGAGTCCGATCGGCCTAAAACAGGAGAAGAAAGCAGGAGAAGGAGCAGCGGGTTTTTAGTCAGTAAGAGTCTGACACTCCCTTTCGCCTCACCCTGGCCCAGAGAAGGTAACCAAGATATTTAAATAATATTTATTTTCCGCGTTAATAGCCGCGTAACTACATGTTGTGAATATGACACTCGAAAGTTTAAAAGTTATCCTAACTTTTAAATATCTTCTGACAAAAAAAACCTAGCTGGAATGCAGCCTACATTACGTTTATATACCTAATTAGCGGTCGCCCGCGGCTCCGCTCGCGTGGATGTCGATGTTACACTTTCTAAAGACATTTTTAAATGTTCGTACTACGTAACGTACAAACCTTCTCCTGGACTATTCGCGAAATCGGTAAATGCATTCATCATCATCATCATCAGCCTATAAGTGCCCACTGCTATGCAAAGGCCTCTTCTCATACGGAGAAGGTTTGAGCATTAATCACCACGCTTGCTCAAGGCGGTTTGGTGATTTCAAACTTATACCTAATTAGAAATTATTAGTACAGGTTTCCTCACGATGTTTTCCTTCACCGTATGTCAGTGGTGTGTATATAATAATAGAAAGTACATATGAGTCGGAAAAAGTCACATTGGTACTTGCCAGGTTTCGAACCCGTGCCCTCATGCATGAGAAGCGGGCACCTTAACCTCTGGGCCACCACGACAACACCTAGTAAAACTCTGGTAAATGCATTGTTGAGTTTAACATTACAACGAAAAGTGGCATTGATTTTTATTTGTATGTATACAGATGACAATTTATCGAATCATTACCTACTTATGTATACAAATATATAGATTACCTAGTTTTATAGACTACGTACATAGGTAAGTAAATACATTTCGTATATTATGTGAAGGTTAAAAAAACCGGTTCAAACTGGAATAAATCGTGGTTTCATGACTAAGTCATTGAGATTTTAGTCATCACAAACATTAATTTGGTCAATATTTATTGTACCTAAGTACAACTAGCTATTACACTCGCGCGGTTTCACCGTCTGCTCCGCTCCTACAAATCGTAGCGTGATGTTTTATAACCTATAGCCTTCCTAGATAAATAGACTAAACTCAAAAGAACATTGTTCAATTTGAATTATTAGTTCCTGTGAATAACGCGTTCAAACAAACTCTTTAGCTTTATACGTAAGTGTCCATGGCGACAAAAAAAAAACACCATTGTGGTTAATATACTTAGTACATCCATACTAATACTGGAGAGTTTGTTTGTTTGAACGCGCTAATCTCCAGAACTACTGGTTCGAATTGAATAATTATTTTTGGGTTTGTTAGTACATTTTTATCGAGGAGGGCTAAATGACTAAATCGTGCTACGATTTGTAGGAGCCGAGCAGCGACTGAAACCGCGGTGGTTCTGTGACTTCCTTTATAAGTACTAACTATAAAAAGCTGGTCGTTATTTTAAAATAATATCAAAATATAATAATACAAAATATAACAAAAGTATTAAAACCGTTAAATAATTCTAAAAAGAAATTGTGGCCCATGAGGGGATCGAACCCGCGACCTTCGCGTTATTAGCACGACGCTCTAACCAACTGAGCTAATGGGCCGGTTGAGCAAGGTGACGAAAATAACGACCGCTTTACTTTTTCGTTATGTCAATACAAACATTTATCTAAGTTTATAGTACTTAAGAAGAAACTAGTTTACCGAATAATTTGATTTAAAAATCTGAATTAAAGAATATTTAACGGACTGAGAAATAATGATATGTTAATTTAAGTGACAAAAATCTTTTTTGAATGATTTAAAAGTAATTTACTAGATAAACCAAGGATTTTTTTAAGTAAAATAATAATAATCGACAAACTTATAGTTCGATTAATAAAAACATCCAAGCAACGCTTCCAACTTTTCGTAT